TCAATAATGTGTGGCTTTGCTCAAAGCTATAGAAGCAACAGTAAACGTAAATGTGCATCCTTACTGAATTAGAGAATCAGAATCAAAATCGTGGATCCTCTACTGAAAATTTGAGTCCCTCTCAGCCAACAATTGTAGCTCTGTCATGTCACTGTCTTGTGGCCATGAAGGGATGTCCATTTGGGCAACCCCCAACAAGGCAATTTTTTTTCTTTAACATTTCAAATCAAAATTTTCCCAATTCCATCCCATCACACATGTATCTGAAGCCACAAATTTAAGCTATTTCTGCAGATTCAAAGTTGTGACAATTCCCCAACTTCACCTGAGCTGCTGTTGGTGGGGGGCCAGGGGGTGGGCCCCATCATTTAGAATGTGTGCGTGATTGCACACAATTTATAACTGGCCAAGAGATGGGTGTTTTGAGCATGAACATCAAAAACTTTGTGTTGTGATTCCTTACAAACAGAAATGTAGACAGATTAATACAACTCTAAAACAAACGTTAACAACCTACAGACTCCAGCAGCCAATTTTGCTCTAATACAGATATTAAGAATTTACTATTGTGCAGTGTCTATAGATATAGAGACTAGCAAAACTAGAGCTTTAACTTTTTTAGGGGGTATAAAAATAATGCACCAAACAACATGAGCCCAGAAATTCTGGGTTTGCCTAAAGGGTTTTAGGATATTTAATTTATAGAAGGGAAAATCCTGTTACCATTTCCACATCATTAGTCAATACATAATCTAACAAGGCAACACAAGGGCTGAGATGATAATCAGAATGAGGTTTCAAATTTGTGTTTGTGTAACTCAAAGAATGTGATATTTGAAAAGCTCAAAGGCTTAAATGAAAATCATTTTCATACACAACATGTGCGTATGCAAGTGTTTTGGTTTCTTCTGTTCCCTTGATTTGAATTTTGATAAAATGACGTAACTCATCAGACACAGGCTAACAGAAGAAAAGGATTGGATACAGCCCCTTGCATGTTTAGTTTTGCATAATGGGATGTTTGAGTGTTGGCCTGGAAGTGACATGTTTATCAATGGTTTTCCTGGCAAGATGATTTATTTTATATTTTACCTCTACATCAATACCGGTGATACAGCTTAAAGAGGAACATTTATATCGCCTTAAAACACTTTGTTTAATGGGGGGTATGGGTCACTGGGCCCACGAATAATGACTGAATAGCAGAGAAGTTCGGAAACTATACGTAACAACTTGAAAGCGTTTAGTTTTACCTCATTTACAACAAGCTGGTGAGTAATGTGACATTTCCAGAAAGTCTTTTCTGTGGTTGCTTAATAATTGGCCTTTTAGTAAATAATTAAATCCTAAAGAGTTGATAGAACAAGCAGCATTCTCTGTTCATTACAAAAGACTTACGGGACCATTACCATTTATGATCTCAGTGCTGTGCACCACATAACTTGGGAAGTCCTCGGGAAAAGTACGCTGTAATGTGTTTACATCACTCTGGCCACCTGATATGTACACAGATGTGGCAAAATGTTTGCTGCATTTACTTGTATCTGAAACTTCTATCCCAGAGGAGAGAGTTTGGTTCTGTCTTTATGGAAATCTCTCATACTGCAACCCAGAGCAACCGCACTTTGAGGTAAATACTGTGATTCCTGGCGCCCCTTACATGTCCCGTTATCGGACACGTGACAGCTGGACTACTATCAGCTTACTATCAGCCCCCACACTGTCCATTTTCCAAACAATGTTGGAGGGTGGAAGAGGAAAGTATGAGGAGGAGCATCTTAGAAAAGAAAAACTTAAATGGGGAACATTTTTCTTTTTCTCGTACCCACCCAACCTGACTTCACTTTCTCTTTATTTGTTTGTCCCTACACCCACAAACACAGCCCATAATGACCAAGTAGACCTGATTCTATTCTTGTTATTGTTTGCCTTTGGGTGTCTTGAGTGAAGCCTACCCATTGGAAGCTGCCGGAATATCATTACAACTGATTCAGGAAATGCATGTCTTTGAAACAGGAAACGAAAAAGGGGTTTGGAAAAGCTTCGGCTCTCCTCTATAAATATTTTAGACCTCAACATGACTAACGGATAAGCCATGGTACAAGATAACCATCAACAATGTGAAATCACTACATGCTGGTGGAACAAACAGTTCATATTATGACTCTATTCCAGAAACTGATTTATGCAATGATATGGAACTGACAAGTTACAAGTGAAGGCCATAAAGGAGCACATTTACTACACACTGCAGCTTCACTTGTGTTGCATTAAACACCGAATACAATGTTCTGTTGGTTTTCTCACTGAAATATTGGTGATTATCTAATGTGACATCTGAAAATACAATACAATACAATTGAATTGTGTAGACTTCAACAAATATAAAATATAGGACATAATGTTTTTGTCGTGCTTTGGATTAAATATTGTGATAAAGAACCTGACTGGGTGAGGAAACTTCAGTGACATTTATGATATATACGATATTAACATTTTCATTTGATCTTTATATAGTTGAGAAATAAAGCACAGTTGAATGGGGAGAAAGCATTGATTTATTTCAAAGAGGACAGACGTTTCACCATCATGTTGCTAAAACCTAACAAGACACTTGCAGCTTTGTTTGGTTTAGACCAAATAGTTGATGCAATAGACCTAAAGGTGCCATGTCAACTCTCACCGCCTCCAATGAAAAAAAAGTGCACTGAAACTAATACAACACAGAGCACAGTGTATTCTTGCCAGAGGACTTTGATTAAATTGACGTAATGTGTTTAATCAGAATTTCACTTTGTTACCATCTTTTCTCAACAGTTATGGCAACATATTAATACAACAGTGCTTATACTAATGTTGTGCTCATGTTGACATGTTTGCAAACTCAGGAAAGCTTTGACAGTAGTCAGTGGTGGGTCAAGATGAAAACATTCGTGACAGGAGCCATTTCAGATTGCTGGCCCAGTGAGACTACTGCTAGCAGCTCACAGCCTGGTAAGGGCTGGGATTAATCATCTGAGTTAATGTGCTTCTCTGTTAAATACTTGGCAATGGTTGAGGTGACCAGACATCTGACTGGAAGATGATAGGACTGACATTTATCCACAACTACAGACTCAGAGCTTAACTGATTATTGATTGAATATTAATGACTGAGTGTATACCAGTAGAGGAGGCACTCACTTTACTTAAGTACGAGTACAAATAAATAGACAAAAGTACTCAAGTAAAAGTACCACAATAACTTTTCTACCCGAGTAAAAGCAAGTACTTTTTTAATATACTTTATCACAGTAACCATTAACTGTGCCAACTACTTTAATAAGAATAACATAAGAGGATTAATACAGACTGTCATATAAAATAAAGTTGCACATGATGCTATTAAAACACTAACATTATCATACTAATTAATGGCTCAGCAGTTAGGGTCTGAATACATTTTTTTCACTGTGAAAATACAAAAAAACAATATGTATATGTGCAAGAAATGCATTGTAAAAATGTAGTGGAGTAGAAACTACAGATATTTGCTGATAAATCTTCAATAAAGTACAGATACAGTACATTAGAAACTTAAGTAAGTACATTAATGACATACTTTGCTAAAACCCACCAAAAGTGAATGCCCTCACATTATCAATGTTTATGCTGTGTCTACATGTGCAGAGGTACGACCTCTGGAGAAACCAGTAGGTGCTTCTCCCATGAGGATTTTGGACTGCACGTCAGCAAGTCATCCACTTATGAAGAACTGGATTGCATTAGACATTCAATCAGATTATCAAAGCTAAGAACAATAGTTGTAACAATGACGTGTGTAGAGGAGTTACACCCAAGACCTTTGTGCAGTCCTTTAGAGTTACAGTACTTCTAATAAAACAAGTCATCCATCCCAAACCTCTTGTGCCAACAACTCTAACAGTCTGTTGCAGTAAAATAGTGACATGAAAACCTGTAGGCCAAAATGTTAGTAATTACTCTGGCTAGGACCATCAATACAGAGTGTGACTTCCTGGTCATATAGTACACTGTGATGCAAAACTGCAAACCGTTAGTGGAATTTGTCCATTCTCCCAAACACTTACCTGGGACGTTTGCCAGAGCAAGACATGAATACATGGAATAACAGCTTTTCAAAATAGCAAACCCTGGTCACTCAGTGCTTGAAACCAAAAAGCCAATGAATTCTGGATGAGGTCACCTCACTGAAGATGACATCAAACCATAAAACATCAACAAATAAAAATGCTATTGTTGATCCATTAAAGGAAGATAATGAAACTGAACAAAAACATTCCGGAGAAAAAAAAAAACTTTAACTGCAGCATAGAGTGCTGGGATCACTATGTGTCACATTAAGCCTACGCAGTGGCTGGCACTGCGCCCTGCAAAAAGAGGAATCGGTGCCTAATAGGTGCTTGCAACATACGCTTCCAATCAAGCCTGAACCCCACATCTTTGGGGAATCAAGACAATAATGCTACAATCCATCATTCACCATTAATTCATTGTGACAGCCAATGCGCACCAATTTCATTGACTTCACCTACCAGTTAATGAGCGAAAATCCTGTGAGGTTTTGTGCTTGGGCCTAGCCGATGCCAAATGAGGTAAACTGCCTTCCAGCACCGCTAAAGAAAATATCGCACAACCTTTTTTCATTCTTTGGAGACGGTGAAAGAACGGTGTAGTTATTTTTCCCTCTTCATCTCCCGCTGGTCTCTGCCTGTCAGAATAGTGCCATTAACCTTTACATTTACTCTAACCAATGCTGTAATTATTCTTATGGACGTTCTACATTACACGTGGCATCTATTGCACTTCTGTTCGTCCTGGGAGAGGGATCCCTCACATGTGGCTCTCTCTGAGGTTTCTACATTATTTTTTCCCTGTTAAAAGGGTTTTTTAGTAGTTTTTCCTTACTCTTGTTGAGGGTTAAGGRCAGAGGATGTCACACCTTGTTAAAGCCCTATGCGACACATTGGGATTTGTGAATATGGGCTTTACAAATAAAACTTGATTGATTAACCATGTCCGTCATAAAAGTCAAACTAATGACTTTGGTGTGCCAGTTGGTTGTTGAGGTTGTCTGGAGGATTATAACATACGTCAATGTGAGTGATGTGATAGTGGATCGTCTCAAAGTTGGATTTTTATCCTCTCAAATTTGTAGCTTCTTAGATGCTCACTCTTCCCTTTAGTGAAGAATACGCCTGATTAAATTCCTAAGTTGAGGAATTTATTCAAGGAATTTTATCATCTGCTCAGGCCTGGTTTTGATTCAGTTATCATATATAGCAATAAAAAATAGAGGCCACTGAACCCAACCTTTGCCAACTTTAATTTTCTTTTGATAAGTATAACAAGAGATGTAAGAGGGGAGATGAAAACACTTAAAGAATCGAAGATAGAAAAGCGCATAATGGCCAAGATGGCAGTTGTATGATACTGCATTTAATTTTGTCTCTCTCCTATTTTATGTAGATAAACGCCTGTCCTTGTTCGCCCATAATATCTGCCCAAGGTTGTAGCAGGATGGCTGCTGAGTAGCATGTCTATAAGGATTTTGAAAAAGAAAAACCTCCAACTCATGTGACAGATGCTATTTGCTTGTGGAATGTGGAAAAACTGCGTCCTCCAACATATAAGGGATAAACAACAAACATACCTGCACCTGGTCACTGGACAAATGACAGAGGAGACATTTATTACCAGACTCCTTCACAGATGTTTCCCCAGGACTATAAAAAAAATCCAGACCAGCCTCACACGTCATCGTAATTCAAGGGGTGAATTTCAAAAGCCTTAGGTGTTCTGTGCGGAGGCATTAAATTAATGGATGGGTGTTAATGAGGTTCATGTTACACACAGATAATTGACCTCTGGGATGAGTCGAGAGCCCCCCCACACCCATGTTAAATCAAACAGACACAGATGGAACTAGTTTGAGCGCCAAAGAAATGCTGGATATGGATGGATTCAACGCTCACTTGAGATCAAAGTTTCGCTCCTAAGTCAATGTTGATAACTGTTGGCTCCTTAACTTGTGATATATTTTGCCTGAATCCACCTTGAAATATCAACTGACATGTGTCTGTCACAGAGAAACAAGGATTCAATTTGGTATGAGTAGAAGGACAAAGATTTTTTTACATGATACAATGTCCAACCTGACAAAAACAGGTCAAAATGATCAAATTAAAAAAGGTCGACAAGCAACTAGGAAAAGTGAGCCTTTATATGGACAAAATATTTGTTTTAGGAATCTAACAAGTGATGCATCTCAAAGGACGCTTGGACAATGGAAGATAAGGAAAATAGGGAAACAGCTGTGACCTTTAAGCAAATCAATGCAACAGAAAATGTTCTTGACTCCAGCATACCTAGTCCCAGATGCTAAACATGTTTTCCAGTTGGGGGCTGAATAACTCAAGAGAATATCAGCCAAAAGTCAGTCCAAAAACCAAGTCAAAGCAACATGGAAAGAGGAGAAAAAGCAAACAGAGATTGAGGGAGAATGGTCGGGAGCCTCTGTCTCACTTTCTGTCTGTCTGATACAGATAAGCTGCAAAACAAACCCCTAAAATCTGCGTGCTGCTACTCTGACTTGAGGAGATGACCCAGCCGAAGTCGTCACAGTGACACATACACTCCCACTCCCTGTGGGAGTTCATCAGGGGTGGATATAAACGGGGTTTACAGAGTAGGGAGAGCAACCAGCTGGAAACTTCACTTCCTGAAATGTAATAGGACAGCGTCTGCAGCCATGTAAACATACTGTGTGTGCACAGGTGTGGGAAGGATGCAATTAAACTGTCTGAATACATTTAAAATACATATCAATAAGAAACCAATATAGCTTAGTTTGTTATTTATATAGATTGCATACACACTGATGACATGTGGTTATCTCTTACTTTTAAACCCATTAACAATTTAAAGTGGGACACATCTTGCTCTTGAAAGGATTTTTACCAAGAGCAGTAGATATCAAAATATGATGTAAAATCTCTGAAAAGCTAAGTCAGAATTAAATTTCATGATTATAGCAGTAAGACTTATCAATATATATTAATTTATTTAAATCACCAAGTTAAAAATACACAGCGATGCAAATGTAGAGTTGTGTTTTTTGAGTTATAGCTGGGATTCAAGCCAAAAGGAACAATAAAACAATAAAAGTTATAGCTGAACACTTAATCACTTTTATTTCATGAATTTTCACACACCAACAGGAAGATGTTAGTTATATAAAATGTCTCAATTAAATAAATGAAAGTACCACTTGATAGTATATAAGTATATAAGTAAAATCAGAAAACTGCACCTGCTCCAAGCCTATATTTGATGCAGCAAAGATCCTGACTCAGTTCACCTGTAGCATAAACTTACCTCCTTGTAGAGAGGGCTGAATCAGTGCTAAGAGGAAGAGTCCACAGAAGAGCAACAGAATGTTTCTGTTAGCCATCTCGCTCCAAAATGCACCACCCCTCTCCCGATCAGCTGGTTTTATGCTCTTCAAGCTAATTACCTCGAGCCCCAAAGTCTTACAAAGCAGCGGAAAGGTGAAAAAAAGAGAAGAGATGTGAGACTCTACGTAATTAAGAGAGGGCAATGACTCTGTTTCAATGGATCACTTTGCTTTTTTTCCTCGTCTGTCTGGTGTTGCTGTTTTTATTCGGGTCACTCCTGCCAACAGCACAGACGCTGCTGCCAACAAGGAAAGAGAGAGAGAGTGCGAGACACACACACAGACAGGGAGAGAGAGAGACAACCCCCCACTCTCATCCAGAAGGAATTGAACCATCTGCCAAACATTTGCATGGACACAGACCATACTTATCTGTAAGAGTCGAGAGAGAGAAGGAGGAAGAGCAAACCACAATCCCAGATAATTACCTTTCTCTAATGGTCAGCTGCATAGTTCTTACCGTACATTTTTACCGTTTCTCGCATCACCTCGAAAACTTTGAGGAAGAATGAAAAGAACACAGCGACTATCAACATGTGTGCACAATATATCAGAACAAAACATTACAAAGTGACTGGCTGCATAAATAAGAGGGAAGCAGCGGTACAGACTGTCTGGGAGTCCACGTGCACACACCGGTCACACTATTAATATATGAGAAAACTGTCAACATTGCAAGCAGATGACAAAAAAAGCAAAAAACTCCAAAAACATCAGCCTGCTACTCTCTGCAGCCCCTCAACCACTTAACTGGGATATTATCAGTCTCCAACCAGCCTCCGTCCATACTCACTGATGAGTGCAGAAACTGTACTTCTGTGATCAGCACCTGATACATTTCATACTTGGATCATTAATCATCACACGAAATAATTATAGAGATTAGAGAAAAAATGCTGCGTGTGTCTTGAATTTTTTATGGCTTTCTAAAGTCACAGATAACTTATTCGAGCAGCCGTGGCTTAGGAAGTAGAGCGGCTCGATCCCTGGCTCCTCCAGTCCACACGCTGAATAGTCCTTGGGTTGATGTGAATGTGACTTGCAGTGTAAAGTTCTTTAAGAGGTTAAGACTAGTAAAGTGCCATATAAAAACAGTCCATTTACTCACTGTGCCACAACCATTATGGCATGGTTCTTTTTCCTGATAATATCTTTGCAGCAGTGGCCACTTAATTCGTTCAATTGATGAATGGATGGATAATTTTTATGTCACATTTGTCACCAGATTAACATGCATCTATTAAAGATATAAGGACATGTTTATTACTTGTCAAATAAAACATATATTAATGCTAACTGCATCAGTAAGATATTCACAGAAAATGTTTTTTTAATGCTTAAACTTTCCAGTCATGCACAACAATATTCAAATGTAGTGAAAACAGAATTAATCTACTTTTTTTTACAGATATGCTTTAGGCACTTGGAGCACTTGGATATAGGAAAATATCACATTCTGGTTTAATACCAAAAACAGTGACTTCAATGTGTTTATTTAGGCTACAGTCAACCAAAACTGTTCCTTTACCCAAAGTACTTTTGTTGTCTAAACCAGACAGAACCTGTAGATGTGAATCAGGGTCTCTGCCGTCACAGTCCTGCGGCTTTGACCCACATCACCTGCTGGAATCTTCCTGTGTGATTCATTCATTCAAAATACATCATTGACTCTGAACATAAACCAGGTAGCAAGTACATTTGCAACCAAAACAATTTCAGGATATATGAAATTTAGTTCTAGCAGACAGGGTTGTTTGGCAAATGCCTTTTAACACACCGGTAAAAGAAAAAAGCTTAGTGAAAATATCAACTACGCTAGTGTACATTCTGAGGTATGTTAACAAATATATTTCAACAAAACAACTTTCTTAACTGCTCATCTTTTTTTTACTAATGTTGTGTAGATAAAGGATTTGCACAGGAGTGCTATTACTAACAGGACACATCCTCTCCAGACACCTGGTGTGCTGATTCATCTTGGCTCAAAACATCAAACCATTACTTAAGAAACACCTCGACGTCGACAGGGCCGTTGTCTGTCTTTTTTCCTCCCTGGGACACATTTCTGGGATTTCAAGTCAACAAGGTTGAGTAGCTGCACTTTTTTTACTGGCAAGAGCTGCAGCCAAAGTCGTTACTCTCTCAGACACAAACCTGACAGACTGACCGTCAGGCTGTTGCACGCATGCTAATAGATTCTGCTTTCCAAGACACACACTATCTTTCATCAAAGTGACATCCACATTTAATGTTCATAGTCCCTAATGATGATTTCCTTAAAGTTAAGCCAGGCATCCTTAAAGCTACTATCAGCTGTTAACGGTTTGCTCAGACTTAGAGCGAACCACAATTTCACTTGAATTATTAAGTATTATCAAACAGCCACAGATAAGCTTCAATTTTTCACTCCAGTAGGGTTAGGCAGCAGAGCCACCCAGACACTGTAAAGGCTATAATCAAAGTTTTTCATCACACAAGCTTAAATGCATGTGGACAGCATCGAAATAACCAAAATATTTCTATAACATGGCAAGCCAGGGCAATAGCCTAGCCGCTGACCGTGTAGCTCTATGTTTTGAGTGAACACACCTAAAATTCGAGCACACTATAATAAGTTTTTCATTACAGCTGAATGTGAAGTGAACTCAATTTGTTTATACCAGAGCCTCACCATTGGATTTATGGGGGCCGATGGTGATACTGATAAAAGGCAGTAAAAAAATTCCAATGCCAAAATATCTGCTAATATACAGTATATATATTTAAAATGGCAATGAATCACACAAATACATGGATCTTGAAAATATAGAGATTTTTCACTTAATATTTGAGTAAGTGCAGATCGTCTCTGCATCGTTTATTCTGTAAAATATGAGTAAACATATCTATCATATCATAAGCTTTGGCTCATATTGGCCAATATTTATCAGCCAAGCATTATAATGGTACAGCATGTATAGTGGAAAAAACAGTAGTCTAATTGATTAGAAAAATCCCTGTTAATCTCAAAATGTTCTTGCAGACAGGAACATATGGGTGAGGCAGCCATATGTTAACATCCTTCACATAACTGCATGTAATCAAAGTAAGTGAGCCAGCAAGTAAATACAACAAGCTGCCAGGTAATCAATTTATTGGATATTTATTCAATTTATTTGTGCTTAAATTCACTCGAGTGTTTAATTTTGCTTTAGTTATTTCAGGGCACTCCCGAGATCCCATTGCATTAGTGTGCCGTACCACACAATCATAGCCAGTGGTAATTTGAAGCTGCTTACAATATTTCCATATGATAATACAGGGGCGATGATTTCTGCAATGAGTCCAACATCTGTTTTTCTTAGTGAACTCATCAGACACATGAAAAAAGACACCAAATAAGTGCAAAACATCTATTAAAGTCCATGACAAACAGTTGAACATCCAGCTCTTATGATTAGAGCAATTATTTTAATGTTTGATTTGAGACCAAAAGCTGCAGCCGGCTGGATTGTTTGTGTAAAAGTGTATTCAACATGAGAGCAGTGTTTTTGTCTATTTATTTGAATCTAAATGTCCACTTTAGCTCATGTCTGTTACTGCTTTTTTGGCCTGAGCCGAACAGTGTTTTGGCCAAAACGGCTGAGACCGACTCCGGTCCAGGCTAAGGAGAGTTCACACAGAACTGAAATAATAATCTGTCCATTCTGCAAAACATTTACATTGTGTGATTTGATCAAGTGCATTTTTCTTCCCACCTTTTACAAATCAAAAACTGATTGAAGATACATAGTTATTGGCAACAGTGGCATATCTTAAAAATGTGCCAAAGAGATGGGAGAAGAAATATGTTCTGGAGCCTTGGTTGGTACGAATGTTTGGCCCAGATTATTTGGTTGTGTAAGAGGTTACAAATCCATTCTCAAACCTCCCAAACTGCCTGCTGAATCTTCTGGGCAGCCCTGATAATTATCGAGCATGTTTGAATTTAGGCTTTGAATTCAAGATGATTATGACAGTATTTGACATTGGTGCAAAGTAACAGCAAACATTCTGAGGCTAACGTCAGCTAGCGTGCTACTGTTGACAAATAAGACTGTCTCTCCAAATGTTTTCTCATCCAGACTCATTTAGCTTTCTGCTTTTGTTTGCAAATGTTTGAGCAAGTTGTTGCTCCACACCACTCTCCATTTTGTTTACATCTGACTCTGCATAGGAGAGACATGAGGTAGTGCGTCCCCACATCTAGAGCAATAATCAGATTAATATCCTGTATTGTGTGATGCCCCATTATTGTCAAATTTTGTAGTGTGGGCAAGTTTAAGATTATAGAGAATATATGTGAAGATTTTTCTTATGTTTATGATGCAACTCCATTTCAAAATCAGTACAATTTCTAAAACCTCTGTAGTCTGAGCCCAGCTTTGGTTTGATGTAATTAAGAAAGTGTGCAAAGCAAGATAATTTAACTGTAGCTTCTGTTATAGAGTTAGTATAGGTGGCTTTGCATGCTGGCGGTGGACTCTTTGTCTACTATCCCGACTTGCAAATTATTCCAGCAGATGTGTAGATGTGTGGTTAGAAGACAAGCTCTAATAAATTTCAAGGTTATTGTTTCATCAGCCTCAGGTCACTAGCTAATCATATCATGAGCCTAATAAGATTGAGTTCAAGACTTTGGCTTGAGTTTGGACCTTCTTTGTATCTTTGTCACATCACATTGCCTGACATGCCCCAACATTAAGGCTTTTGTACTAGAAGCAGCTCTCTTGGAGACAACCGTGCATTACAAAAGACCCTCACTATAATTGCTCTGAATCTGCAGGCACAGTTGGCAGAGCATCACAATATAATCCACTTCAACCTTCCAAGTACTTCTGGCTTTGGTAGAAGGGAAATTAAGTCTGTAAAGACAAACTTTTGAGGTCACTGCCAGAAACCATATCAACTCACTGAGGTAGAAGTATATTAAATTCCAAGGAAGTGGAGGCTTCATTTACTAACAGACATACTGCTTAATTCTCAGGTCTAAAAATGAATGACCAAGTATCCACAGTTCAGTAACCAGCTGAAAAACAACCTGAAGTCAAATGTAACATTCCAGTTAAAATCACCTGGTTCGGGCTTCAAACCGTCATCTTTCGCATGAACATGATGTCACAAGTGATAACTCAAACATCTGTCTGCTGAGCAGGAACATGT